GGAAGGGGAAAGAAAGTTGTCCAGACCAACCACCTTTCATTTAACGAGCCTATCATATTTTAGCGTGCATGACGTCCATTGCATAGATAGGCTCGCACGAACCCGAACAACCTTGAAAACTCCTGACTTCGAACAGTCAGTCTCCTTGAAAATATTCCTCGATCTCATGGAGTTGAAGATCAAGGAATATAGGAGGCAAAGGTTGTCCTCTGTTACACCCAATTTCCGTCGATAGCATGCACTAATGAACATTTGAGGATAAGTTTTTACTTTTTTGGGGTGACCTTGCAACATGAATAATTTTTGAACTAGTTAGTTAACTACCCATTAAAACCCCAATATTACAAAAGTCCTTATTATTCCATCATTGAAACAAAGGAAGGGGGTTTCCCAATTTTAGCATAATAATGAGGGAGGGCATTAATTGGCTCCGGATTGGCAAACTTTATTGTCCACTTTCTTAAGGGGAAATCCTCATTGACGCTCATTACCCACATCAGGTTGGAGGGATATTCAATACAACATACCTACATAATCTGTTCGTTGTTATTCTGAATGACATTCCACACGTAGATAGAGCCTCACAATAGACACTCATAAAAGCGCGAAGAGTACAACGTCACATATTAAAAGCATTAGCTAAATAACAGCTACATATCAGGATTAAACAAAAGAATAATCGTGGAAGAATCGTATCCAGGCAGTGAACAACTTTTTGATTTCTGTTGACGTAGCGATATCGATCTTATGATGAGCAGGGTTAGAAAATTATGCATGAACAACATTTATCTTTCAAGAAGGTGTCTGAAGGTAAATAATTCTAAATCGAAGGATACATTAGTTGTCCCCCTAGCTTATTCACTTGACACCGAAATCCTCTGGCGGACGTACTTCTGCATGCGCTGGTAAGATTCCCGGGGCCTGGTCTCTACCGGGCATCTCAAAGGGATACAACACAGAAGGACACGCCTGTAGTTGAATTGGCAAGATATCACCATGTCAAGTTCTGAGATGGCATCGACAACTGAAACCGAAATGGAATAGTCAAAGGTATGCTCTCGCTTCTAGCAGGGATGGCAGAAGCTCTGCAGTGCATGGTGAAACCGTGAGAAAGGGAAATGAAAAGAATGGGATTCTCTTTCACCATGCATAAGCTCTGACACTTGAAATGGAATTTTATATGGAGACGTTGAAAAATGGAAATAGCCATAGGAAGATTATCCAGGCTTTGCTTATTCCAGATACATCCAGTGCAATCCTGGCTGGCATATTACGAACTCTCGCAGTAGCTAGCTTTGGGATTTAAGCCACAGTCCACGCTTATTTCAGAATGGAAGAGACTACTCTCAGAGAGTAGAATCATAAATGATAGCTTTCCATTAGCTGTTGTTTCATGACCTTGGCGTTGGTCGAGAAATAAGATCTTTTATGCGAAAGTTTGCGAAGAATGAGGAGGTAGCTAATATACATAATTACATAGTTAATTAGCTGTTGTAGGTCGTCGTTTCCGCGAATCCATTGACGTTGCAGGCATCTAATATCGTACCACTTGAGAAATCTGACAAGGAAATGGAAGTGATGTTCTAATCAAATCGTACTGCGTGAAGAAACTTATGGACAGATATTTTCTGCTCGCTTTCCCTGGCAAACAGGTGTCTAGGGTATTTAGCGACATCAGCCCCCGGAAAGTTTCCAACGGTCTGTCCTGATCCTTGATTGAGGAAAGAAAGGTATTAATGTTGAAAGTGCATGTCCATGCCATGTCGATGTACGGCACAATGCAATGCTGAGCAAGACAACGAAGTCACAAGAGGTTTGAAACCTCGATGACCTCAGGCTTTCGATACCAATTTGCTAAATCGCTGGGTCCATAACTGAAACCGCATGTATGGCCGTAGTACGGTAGGTAGGTACACTTACGGTATAATCTGATAGGCCTAAATGCGAGAAAGACATAATTTATGACCGGCAGCAACTAAGCTCCTATGGTAGGAACTCCGGCTTCATTCACTTTGAGGACGGTCATACTGCCCCCACACAACCCGCCGGCCCCCCCGTCTCCTCCTGGTGCCCTCGTTTGCTGCGTGTCATTTTGACCTTTGACCATGGCGCGCCACTTCAGCATGTAGTGGGGCGACTGATTTTTGAAAGGGCAGGTCGAGCAGCGTTTAAACGAGGTCGACGATGTAGTTATTATTGGTCAACAGTTCCTTCAAGGATGTATAGCGGTCAAGGCAACGGGCAAATGCAAAATAATTTTTCCGACGACATCCCAATCCTCACCTAAAAAAAACTCTCAAGTCAAGGATGAAGCCATTGAATGCACGAAACGTAGCTAACAGAATAGGTTTTTACTACGTTCTTGGCAACATCAGTGATGTATTTTTTCCCCATTTCTTCTTGCACATGAAGTGACGTGCAGCAATGGGCTGGATAACTAGTTGTTGCTGATTAGCAGAAGATGGAACGTTTTGTTGGAACTGGTTATTTGTGGGAGTGTCAATTCTGAGAAGGAGATCAATTGATATGTTCTCAACTTCTCTCAACTCTCTCATGGCAATACTCCAGTCGGGATTTATGGCTATTATTCTGTCATCCATGAGGGCGGCTGTGACATAGTGATGTCGTCCATCAAGGAGACCGACTTCACTAGTTAACAAATATCAAAAAGAAAGATGGACAGCATTAAAGTCTTGTTTGTGGAAAGTCCATCCCTCTCCTTCAAGATGGATGCGAAGTGACAATCCTAGCTCCTCTGGTGAATTTCCGGCATTTCTGCTATTTGAGATTCAAGTTTCCCAGGGATCCATTGCATTCTCTGCGGCCTGATGATAACTAGACAAGCCAGGCGAACCTGTCCTGAATTGGCGAATGTTATGTCAAGTGGGAGCCAGGTTCTTTTGAAGCGCAAACCAGGTTTGGGCATTCAAATATAAGTGGCCCTAAAGGATTCAATGATTTGATAAATACTATTATCAGGGGTGCCTAACGACTCCCCAAGCAAATGGGACCCCATTAAAAAAAAAAAAAATATGAGGGGCAGACCCACCAGCACTCGAGTGGTGATCCTCGATTTTGCATTCCACTGGGGTCCAATTGATCCTCATTCCTATGACGGGATCCTTCATGCTGTTCTCAGAAGAGTTAGAGATGAGCCCTTTTTATTCATGCCTGAGAACCATTTTCATCAGGCCGAAAGGATTGTTAAGGAGCATTACTTTGTGCATGACGACTGGTGCTATGCAGCGAACTCCAGGGTCCGAATGTTTGCGGATCGTCTTTGGTGCTGCCTGTTTCCTTCCTAAATAATCTGAGAGGGCAGATTCCCAGTCTTCGACTAATCTTCATTTGTGCCCCATCCGTTGGGCTATTATTGGTCCTGATATCGAGTTAATAGAATCAGTCATTCGCTTTCCAACAGCAAGGCTCAGGGCGACTAGTTCATTTTGATCACATATCGCCATTATTGTTCAATGAGAAAGTTGCCAATTGTTCTTTACCTTCCGCCTAACTGCCACTGCTCCGCTGAATGACGAAACGAATCGACAATGGGAGCGATGTATCTCGTGTTTAGGACCCGCCACTTTCCTATTGCTCTATGCCTTATCTGTCTCTATCAAGAATGAGGAGGTTTCGAAAGGTAGTTGCTATTGCTAATAACAGAGCTAGGAGCCATAAAGGAAAGTGAAAAAGGTCAGAGTCTTTGTGTTTGTCTTTGGATCCTTTTGAAGATAATCCTACGTACGAGGGCCTCGTCCATCCCTTCTTAAATCGTATGCACTGGTTACTTATTGTTCATGACGATGCACTATCAAATGGACCACACGAGTTGCTGGGGATCCCAATTGCGATGACTGCATGCTTCGGCTGTAAGTATAGATTGAAGAAGAAGTCCAAACCTCAAGCCTCTAGGGTCCTGGTTTAAAAGCTGATGGCCTGAGCCAGCCCTTCGAACTAACGAGCAGATCATATGGACGTCGGTTCTGCGGAGGCCCAGACAAGGTTGTGGACAATTTCAAAACAAAACAAAACAAACCTTTTATTCAACCTGCTTGCAAAGACCGATTTGCTGGCTTTTTTGCTTTTGCCTGCCTTCGATATGTCCGTGCATACGCGGCATGTTCGAGATGTCTGCCAATAGGTTGCAATAATGACCAGGTTCTGAATTTTCACTCTGCGACAGAAAATAAGGTTCTCGGGGAGAGGCTTGCTCCGCTCACCAGCCGAACCATCTGAATTCCACGATGGATCACTCACTCTGACTATGATCTGCCCCACCAAAACGCTAGCAGAAGGTCAAAACGCCCAATCGGGCCCTGCGGGCAGCGGCAAGTCTTGAAAGAAGGACAGAGCATTATCCTTGACAATTCGCCTGTTTGGGGACAGCGTTATCAAACGAAACTTCAACCTTGCGCTAGCCTCATATCTCAACGGGCAAAGAGTAATAATAATAATAATAATAATAATAATAATAATAATAATAAACAGTCAACCGAGCCATTGCAGCTGACCAAGTAGATTCGAAGAACGCAGTAGACAAGGTCGGAAATTGTTGCTGGATGCCCGGGATTTCCTAACATGTTGATTCGAAGTTGCAACTTCGGCACCCGAAGGCTTTACTTTGGCTGTCGCTGAGATCACTTGGTTCAACAAGCATGTCCCAGGTCTGGTATTTGTACCTAGGATGTGACATTTACCGTACTGGTGGGTTATGTCCGGAGTACATTTATGTGCACGTACGTGTATTCATAGAAATCTTAAGAGACTTTAGGGTTGTTTTGTTTTGTCAGGAACCCAAACCTCAACCTTCTCTTCTCGTCATGAGCAGATGCACCCTAGTCGGGTGGGGAATTCTTAATAATCATTATGGAACGCCTGCACGGGAAGCAACACGGGGACGGGCAGATGCAGGGATTTGTGGCTGCAAGTCTGCCAATGATCTTGTTTCAGTGAGTCTGTGAACATTGAGAAATGTGTGTGTTGTAACTATATCCTCCAGCATGCTCCCATTAGGCATAGAGAAGATTCTGGGTTTGGACTTTAAATCCTCAGCAATATTCTACCCTATGTACTCCGTAAGGTTTGACGTGGAGACAACAGACGGCGCAACGTTACATGCCAGCCTTGTTCCAGGCAAGTTTCCTAGGCATTTTAATGATAACATACCGATCGGTCCAAAAGATGCAGGAAATGAATATGTCATGTATTGGCCAGAGCTGCGCAGCCAGTCCAAATAGTGACTTTGACAGCATTGAAAGGAGACGACAAGGGCGCTCACTACGTCTGGCTCGTAGGTATCTTCCTAGACGACAGAATTTGTAGCCTTGGCTGAACGATCCGAAGGGAGAATGAAATTCAAACGTCATCTTCTTTCTAGTACAACCACTAGCTATCAACAGTGTCAGTATATTTTTTTCGAATCCTTTTGGGAATGAAGTTGGGTCACTGTTTCTATTGCATTCCTTCGAATCCGTTGTGTGACATGATGACCAAAGGATCCGAGGAACAATGGAATTGTGTTGGTCTTAATGCCGAAGGCAAAAGTTCGATAACTTATTGTCGTATACAGATCAGCAGTGAAAAACTAGCTGAAGTGTTCTTTAAGCCTTCCTCACATGCGGCCTCTGGGAGTTGAATTGGAGGAAACCATGTAGGGCAACCATGGATGAATGAAGAGACGTGTTGACATGGACGCGTAAGGATGGTCAGTTCGGATAATTAACTAGTTTGCCTATGCCCCATGATTTAGACATAGCAGAAATGCGCGGTCATGCCGGGTTCGCATCGTCGGGTCCACAAGAAAGAATCATAAGGTAGGAATTTTGTGTACCCTGAATCCCACAAGACTCTTCTTACCACTGTGAACGGAGAAGATATCCATGGGTGGAGGATGTTGTCACTGTTATGCCGCTGGTGGAGCAAGGCTTGACAGGTAACTGGACATACGCTACCAGCGAGATGCAAATGGATTTTGTCACGCGTAGGTTATTCTCGAAGGAGTTTGGGGGCCACTTAGCAGCTGGAGGTATTTTAAACCCCTTGAGCTACAGCAATAGCCAATGAATAGAGGGGAAACATCTAGAATTTTAGATCACAGTCAACACGGCTTTGCAAGGAAAAACGTGAATCGAATTGTTCGATAGACGGTAAGAACTAGTCCTGGTTCCTCTGGCAATAATGAAGTGATTTACCAGGTAGCCACAGATCCTACCGTGTACTTGTACCGTGTACATCTAGTTGTTTCAGAACCAGCTCTCCAATCCCCTTTTGTAAAAGTCCGATTAGGAGTGGATGAGGTGTCTTTTGACCTCTGGTTCAGCAAATAAATCCGTTGTTACTGCTGTTTCCTCCTCTTCGCATTCGTAATTCGGTTTATCATTGATTTCTTAACGACGAATCCATGTCCTAGTGGAATAGACAAAGGCAAACGGTCACTATGTGCTCCATCTGTTGATTTATTCCCTTTCTAGGCGTTTTCTCTGTTGGTCTGATTATGTGGTAACCTTCCTGGGAACACCCTTTAAGTTTTATCCCGTCAAGCGATTCGACTTTCATAGCGAACCGAGAAAATAGGCCATGGTTCATCTCATATCTAGAGATAGAGTGAAGTCATTCCTTTTTGCGCGAACAACATCCACAGCGGAAGTGCATAATTGTCAAATCAAGCACGCTGAGTGACGAGATATCAGTTATCTGAAATCCGACCAGGCTAAATATTGCGGACTGTCGAATGGCGGGAGACCTCTCACCCCTCCAGATCCAGCCCACCCCTTCAGGCTTCTTCTCCCCTTATGGGACTTGGCTGAGGATTATGCCTCTAACATCGGGCAGGCCACACTAAACCTGCTAGCGAGTAATGAGTTGCTAGCGAAATACCTGCACTAAGCAATCGACGCTTGATCATTGGCAGCTCAGGACATTGGGCCTGCGGATGCTAAGGAGGCAGGCAATCTTGCCGGAACGCCGCATGATATCTAGTAGAGGCTGCAGAGAACGAGCACTCTGGGAATAAAAGGACTCCTGGGAGACCAATTCTGACTTTCTTGTTCGATTTCTTCAGGCGAGAACACCAGAACAAACATTCGTCAACCCAGCCGCGGAGGGGGAGGGGTCAGCCATTCATAATTTCCTTGTTACTTTGTAGAGAGAAAGCCTGCCAACAGAAAGTGTTATCAGGCTTGGTTATTCGTCTGCCAACCACAGACCCTCGCTGTGTCCGCCGTGTCCCTGACAAGGGCACACCAAGCCATAAATTGCATCCTAATAATCAGATCGCGCCTCTCCACCCCCATTAATTATAAGCTGTCGTCCACGTCCCGTCGTCTTCCACTTCCTATTTCCCAGTGCCTTACAAGACTTGGTTAGTCGGGGTTCCTCCCGTTAGAAATGCGATGTCGTTCAACCAAAAAAAACGCTACCCCTCGTCTCGCCTCCCTGCGTTAGACCTTGACTTCAGTCAGCGTCCATGTAACCCTGCTACATCGGCAACGGGCGCCATAAGCCCCGATGGCCGCGACCAGCAGCTGACAACCGCTATCTCTCCGTTGTCTTCCCCCCAGCTTTTGATACAGACTCCAGTCACCCCTTGTGAACGTTTCTCCCGAATGAAAATTGCGGATGGAGAAGATGGTACGAATCAGAACCGTCGCACCTGCTCGTTCGAGACTCGACCTAGTCGCAGTCCAACACATGAGGTCGATCTTCGCGATATCAACAGGGAGGGATTTCCTCAACATAAACCTGAACAAATGCCCTCTTCCTTGCGTTCATCAAAGCCGTTTCGCTTCTTAATGGCTTCACCTCCTTGTACAGATACGGCGGGGAACAAGGTGACGCCAAAAGTGGAGGAAATCGGCGACAATGAAACCTTATTGATGGAGAGAATCGAAGAGGAAAGCGAAGATTCGATCAAACAAACAGATTCCTCTGCGGCAACGCGAAATGCCACCGATGCTCCAAGGAAGCGTGGGAGGCCACGAAAATATCCACTCCCCATTCCTGGCCAAACAAAGATTGCGAAAGGAAGATCGAAAACTGGATGTGTTACGTGCAGAAGGAGGAAGAAGAAATGCGATGAAACAAAGCCGTCGTGCTTAAATTGCCAAAAGAATGCTGTCGTCTGTGAAGGTTATCCAGTGAAGGAAGTATGGAAAAGTGGAAAACAGAAGATGGAAGAGGGTAAACTTACTTCCCTTTACTAGGAATTAAAATCCCACCCAACACCAGCAGCAACAAAACAAAATTAAAAAAAAAAAAAAAAAAAAAAAAAAAAAATACGATGGTGATTGGCATCTTTTAGGATTCCTCTTGCTAACTTTCGCTCTACGTAGCTATTCGAAGGAATTCTATTGCCGCTATTCCCCCTGACCTCCCGATCTTAATAGACGGTATAGAGACTGAAGTTGATCGAAAGTTCCTTGACCACTTTGTATTCGAATTTAGCAGAGTTCTTACTCTCATCAACGATGACTCCAATCCCTTTAAGGAGATCTTGTTACCAATGGCTACACAGAATCGGTGCCTCATGCATTCGCTAATGTGCCTCTCCGGATCACATCTGTCGACAAGGGACCCAGAACCTCAATTTATTCGACGTAAAGAGTACCACTTTCACCGGGCCATCACTGATTTAAGGCTAACTGTGGCTTCTCAAACGGGCTCAGTCGATGACCCAGAACTTCCTCTAGAGGATCATATGATCGCATCGACACTAGCTTTGTGTCTTAAGACTATTTGCGAAGGAGAGACTAAGGGGGAGTATAGATCCCACATGGATGCAACCCGATATTTCCTGAAAACTAATCCCCCAAAGAATGAAGAATTTAAACAATTCATCATGGAGTTCTTCCAATATCATGACATTTCAAATTCCCTAACTACCCTGGATCGCCGACCCATTTGTCTTTCAGGTGACTTGCGTCTCCCAGACTTTGTTCCCCATGCCCAAGCCGGCGCCCTCTTGGGAATCTTCGATGGGTTATTCCAATATATTTCAGAAATCACCGTTCTTCGTGACAGGATACGGAAACGGATTATGCAAGGTCTGCAACCGCCAGTCGACTACCAGACCCTGAGCGAGGCTGTGTCAGTCGACGCATCGATTCGAGCTTGGGAACCAATATATTCTCCGGACAACCCCAACTGGTTCGCGGCCCAGCTTTATCGGCAATCGACATGGGTATACCTCTACCGGACCATGCACCCCTCCTTGCCAAGCGAAAAGATATCTAAAGTAGTGGATGATGGGCTTCTGTTCCTCGATCAACTTCCCATAGATGCTGGCGCCAATTCTATTATGCTCATGCCACTGTTTCTACTTGGCTGCTCGGCCTTCAAGTTGAAACAACGTGAGCGCATCAGGATGGGTTTCGATAGTCTTCAAGCTTATTCAAGCCTGCGCAACATAAAACCAGCGTTTGCGGTTGTTGAGAAGGTTTGGGAAATCATGGACGATAAGCCGGAAGAAAGTTGGGATTGGGAGAAGATCATAGGGACTATGGAGATGGACTTTTTGATTACATGATTTCTGTTTCCTCTTTTCGCCTAACAAAACCGAATGGCGGAAAGATGTCAGGAACTTAGGGCACGGTGTTGGATCACTAACTTTACATGTTCCTCCACGAGTTTGTTTTCACTTCCATTTTATTTACACAGCCTCTTTCCTCAACGACAACCGCCTCCCGTGGTTTCATTTTTATCTCGAGTTTCGCGGTGCGATTTTGCATATTATGTCTGCATGCGGTGGCGTTTTTCCAATCAGTCGAAAATTCAGGAGTAAAAGGAGCAAGGTCCAACTGTTACTGATGATGTGGTGAGATATCCGTACTGCTCGTTTTCTTAGCCGTTTGCGAAACATTTTCCCTGTTATTTCCACCACGGATGTTTTAGCAAACCTACCGGTATTTACTTCAAGGCGGCTTAGTATCCAAAGCCTTCTTTTAATGTGCTCCTATCATTCCCTCCCTTTTCGGTTACGATACCTAATCCCCTCTTTATTCCTTGATTTTTATTGACCCTCTTGTCATGATTTCCTACTGTCCCTTGTCCGTTTTAAGACAAGGCAATGTAGAGATAGAAGACTTAAAAGGGTCACATCTTAAGTGATCTAAAAGTCTACGGTAGCAGACGGAAAGTGGTGAGTAAAATTTCTGGTTCATTTTGCGTAGTGATATTTTTACTGTCTCTTTTAACGAAAGAGAACGCGAAGCAATGGAATGGATATGTTTCATGCATTTGTCTGTCTCCGCTTGGAGGATATCCCTCCTCCCATCTCTTATCTTCCACGGGTTGATCTTCTAGGACATGAGACACGAAAACCACGGGAGTGACATACTCCTGGACGCATTTTCACCATTATCTCTTTCCTAACGTTATCAAATTTCTCCGTCCATCAAACAAGTTGTGTGCCCTATTCTCGTCCATTCGCAGTTTGATATGAACTACACTTCCGTCTCCTGCTGTTTTCGGTTTCTGCTTTTCCGTTTCCACCAACTGAGCCGTGGATGTCATGCATATCTTCTGCATTCACCAAAATGACCATATTTCCCAGCGAGTTATGGTTTGCTCAGTCTCTATGTATGTGGAGTTGTTCAAGCAACTCTACTATAGACTTCTGATCTCGCCCAACACACCCTGCGTCGGTTAACCTACTCCAATGTTAAATGTTCATTCCTATGCCGAGACAATGTTCTCCTTCATGAGTGGTGTAATTTGAGCCCATACCGTAACACCTCCTCTTCAATCTCCTCTCCGCTTCTCCAATGAATTCATCAAGTGACTAGGACATTTGAACCTATGATTTCCACGTCGGATGACAATGATCATAATGAATGAGCCTGTGAAATTGGCCGTAAGTTGTTATCTAGGCTTTTCTGCATCATCATGTCCTATTAACTTGACACGTAAACATCATCTATTTTCACATTGTTTTCTGGACGTTAATAAAATTAACCACAGGCGTTGAGGATGACCTGTGGGCGTCATGGAGGATATAACGTTCTGTATAAACCAGCTGGTAGAGATATAAACTATTATAGAGGCACGTGATTAGTTGGAAGCGGATACTATTAGGTCAGGTGACCTCTATGTAATTGTTCACGTCCATAGTCCTTAGTCCACTACTGGCAATTGTGCCTTGTTGCCAGATGCAGCTACCCTAATGATGTACCTCATCATATATAACTGTGCGATGTTGACCTCGAATTGGGAGGGAAAGCTAGCTAGTCCATATACGCGGTACGCGGAATCGATTCAATTCGTTATATAGAGGAATTCGCTATATAGGGGTTGATTATTCAAAGTACTCCTGATTATCCTTGCTGCTGCTGATTTTCAAGCTTCCATGATCCTAACCTTCATTTATAGTAATTAATCCATTGAATTAGACGCTGATCTCCCTGATCCTGCTGCTCCTCATACAAGTGAAGTTTTATTACCAAATTCAACGCCTATGAAGCTATAATCTGTGAAAGGGTTTCTATATTCACATTCTCATTTTTATCACTTTTGTCAAAGTCTAATTGTGCAATAATATGCTTTTGATAGCACTTTTACTCCAAAGAATAGTGTACTGCCTGATAAAGATGATTATAACATGAAAAGAAGAATTCAGAAGTAGAAAATAAAGTGATTCTTTAATTATGTAACTTTTTAAATCAATGTTTTAAGATCTTATTGCTAAGAATTTAACTTTGTAATTTATTAATATATTAAATTATTTTTTAAATCAATTAAAATTAAAATTTTTATATTATTTTAATTTAAAATAATAAATTTTTATATAAAAAATTTTAACTATTATAATTAATTAATAATTAAATTAATTTTTTTTAATTAAATTATTTAAATAAATTTTAATTAATATTTATTAAAAATATTATTAATTATTTTTAAATATTATAATAATAATTATAATTAAATATAAAAATAAAAATTTAAAAAAAATTTAATTTAAAAATTAGAAAAAATTATTATTATTAATATAATTAATATATTAAATTTAATTTTATCTTTATAAATTATTTTATTATAAATTTATATTATATTAATAATTATAATAATTTAATAAAATATTTAAATATGAATATATAATATATATAATATAATTTAAATTAGATTAAATTTTTATTAATTATAAAAAAAATAATTAAATAAAATTAAAAAATTTAATTAAATTTTAAAATATATAAATATATAATAATAATAATTATATAAAGTAATATTAAAATATAATTACAAATGAGAAAAAAAAAATAAAAATATATAAAATCTAGTTGCTAAATTCAACATGAAAAAAAAATCTAACTAGATATGAGACTATAGAGTCTGCGATTTTATCTGCTCAGCTCATTCAATAGTCTATTATTATTCAACACTTTGCATCTCTGCCTAGACTAAGCATATAAATGCTGCAGAGATACAGTAATTGTGACACGCTTAAGCATACTAGAATGTCCTGTACCTAGTGTAATTTCATTTAATTTAATTAGTGGTTGTTAAGTATAAAGTATTCCAGGCTGAAATCTAGTTATTTGGTCTTCAGAGAGTTTAGTGATCGGTTCAGTCGAGTGGTTCAATTGTTAGAATACGTTAAACTAACTTGAGTTAATAGTGGGGCTGATGTAGCAGATTCTCAGAATCCGGAAGAAGACACTGAGGCACTGACGTCAATTTCACGGATTCCGATTCATCCCAAAGGAAAATTTCACCAATCTTCTCATCATCAATCACGAAGAGTTTTGACGCCGCGATCGCATTTCTGCTCTCTTCTGCTCTCAGGTACCCTGGGACTCCTACTGCCATCTCGGCGGCTCTCCGCGTTCTCAGCGATGACTGTGCATCGTGCTTGATTCGACTCCCGGCTCCTCGCTTAAAAGCATTCCGAACCTGTTGGCATACATATATTTATCAGCCATGACTCTCTTCCAGGTCAGGGAGCTGTTGCAGTTCACAGAAAACGGGGATAATGCGACCGATACAGTTATCAATAATATTCATTTCAATAGAACCGCTCTGAATTATTTTAACTATACCCTCTATTCTAATGGAACATTATCCAACGGTTCGAACTGCTGGCTTTTATTCGACATCTACAAGCCTCGAATGTTGTCAAATGGAACATTTCTCAATGCAACCTCATGTTATTCTCCAATTGGTGACCTCGAGAAAAGGGGAAGTGTAGGGATCGCTTTCGCGTCGATGTTTGCGGTGACGATAGTGTTCACATTGATCAATTTGAAGAAGCATGGAATGATGTTCTTACCGTCCGAGAAACGATGGGGGGCCATCGGAAGGAGATGGCAGTGGTACTGGATGCTTTTCGTTGCAGCTTGCGGTATCATAAGCTGTTTCATGAGCATCGATGTCGATCGTGTTTATTTGCAGGGAATTGCGCTCAGTCTTCAGAGCTTTTTCTATTATCTACTTCTTCCTGGACTGCTTGCCGCTGTATGGGAGGGAGTCAGGCATTGGTACGTACTAAATCCATACGTGCGAAGGATTCCACATATGCCGCACATCGTACTGCCCGCTAACCATATTGTCTACAGGGGTTCATGGCAGGAACGGCAGATATGTGATCGTGATATCTTTGCATTCTTGACCGCTTCTACAAGGGAGACACAAGAATTCTATCTGCCGCTGATTTTTTATCTATTTGCTTGGCTCAACTTCTTTATGGTCATTCCCAGGAGCTGGGTTACTATTCAAAAGCAACACAGTTATGATCTAACGATGACGACTGCGAAACCATCCGCAACAGACTCGCGCTTTAAAGCTGGGAGTATTATTGCAGCTGTATGTCTTGTTATCATCTGCTACAGTCTTGGGCACAGCATCTATCGATACAAAGAGCGTCCAACGAACCGGCTTCGTTCAATGACGTACTATATAAGCTCTGCACCCCCGAAATTCATCATCTGCATTCTTCTCATCGGCATCCGTGTCGGATTCGGCATCGCCTCCGCATTTTCATGGGATATTTCACCCATTAGATATGATGGCAATGTCGGTTGGCTCTACGGACTAGGTTACGCTCCCGCACTCCTCATCGTAGCTGTTTTGAACTTTTGGGGTTACATCGATCCCAATGAAGATAAGGCTCTGATTAATCAACGTCGTGAGCGTGGTCGCGCAGCCGATATTGAACTGGGCATTGAAGCTTCAAAGAGGAAGCCGGACTGGTGGCGTCGACTTCGACCCGATTTCCAACACATATCTGGTGGTGATCCTAACGCGAGACTACGAGCCCTAACCACAGAGATAGGAGGCGGAAAACCAACCCAGCAGAATGTCGAACGCTACGTCGAAATGGGGACTTTGTCCGCTTCTAAACCTTCAGGGGAGAACCAGGACATCAAATTCAATGATACGAATACCCCAAGCATGGTTATTCAACATGATCCGTTCGCGGATCCAAGCCCAAGGACTAATACTTCAACTCTGATGCACTCGAGAAATCAGGTAGTTCTCACCTCCAAGAGGTCGGGAAGCCAGGCCACCGTCTCATCTGGAGAAACATTGACTCAGCAGCAGCCTCCTCAAAAAGTGAGGAGTATGTTGGATATCTAACGTAATATTTTTGGGTTATCATTTGAACCATCATCTACAAACATTTTCACTTCTATCTCCTGTACAGACATTTTTATTTTATTCTACGTTAACATTTTTCCTTTCTTGCATTGCTATAAAAATCTTAACAGAATTTAGACGTTTAATTTTTGTTTAAGGTGTTTAGTACATTTCACAAACGAGCCACACAAGTATCACACTCTATATACGATTTGAGGAGGCCATGGAGCAGAAACGAAAGGACTGTCAACTATACTTGTTGGACCTTTTCCCCGGTTCTCCCGACGTGTTACGATGCCGTCGAAATCTATACATCTGAATATCTGTTACGAGTTTGAAGAAAGGATAAAAAAGAACTCTTAAAGAAGAACTCTTTTATAACTACTGGGATATTTCTTTTGGCAGCTTCTTTCATTTAGACTGTATTATGTGCTCTTGTCATTGTTCTTACAGTTCTACCTGTGGATCTTCCTGTCTATATATTTTCTTCCTGGCACGTCACGGCTTTGTCCCCTTCGAATAAATAAACGAACGAAGAGGTCTCATATAAGGATTTATCAACTCCCAAGGGTCCTAACTACATCGGTGTCTATTTGCCTTCTTACGTGTGAGATTGTGCGGCCTCTCTCGGTCAACCGGAAACGTATATCTGCTATTTCTGGCAGTAATGACTTTGCATAGAACAAACAACCTGCGGCATGATTAACTCAGTATAGTGCATAGAGTTCAGTCAGACGAGAAGTAATCTGTCGTAGCATTAAAGCATGAGGGAGAGATGACTTGAGCCATATAACATATGGAAGACCAGCTACGTCATCATACCCGAAGGCAGTAGCCCTTAATTAGCATCGGGATGCTTATTTCACTTGAAATAATTTCTCAGCCCTATCTTCGGATCCAACTTTAGTAGGATTACTGGTAACCTCTATCTATGTGTTATACCACTAGTTATATATATAGCCCATACAATAAACTTTCTGTGAAGAGGGTGTTTCGCGAAAGGCTGCGACCCACAAAATCTTTGGCATGAAAGGGTTCAGCGCTTCATCCCTCCAACGGATCCAGATAAGAGAAAGTGACGATCTGCTTTGTCTTAGGAGTTTCATGTGATTCTTTGCGAAAATCTCGAGTTATTCCAGGCAACCAAAGCCGTATTTCTTCACGCATGATATGATAACCTGACCAGGCGGTATTACCATATTAATATTTTAGTCCAATGTAGAAGTCGACTGTAAAAAACAAAAATAATGAGACTTTTCATGAGCCCAGCTCACATTTCCCATTCATTGTTTGATTTAGTGAGCCTTCTCTGTCAACGTGGACATCGGTGACGGAATCGTGCTGCTGAGCTGTTGCACGTATGCGAGACAAATTTCGAGCATGTTCCAGCTCAGTTATCTGAAGATGACCTGGTTCGATCTACGGTAGGTTCGAACATTTACCATAATTGCCATCGAGGCTTTCGTCTGAAAATAAGGACGACCCCTTACTTGATCCCGGGCTAGCAGTATGCCACTGGGAAGTCGATAACAATGTTTCTAGGTTCCTCACGAAGCATTCAAGTGTGCAACAATGCACGCATGACAGCAAAGCGTAAAAAAGAAGAGCTCTATAGAGTTAGATTAGTTGCAACCAATAAGCGGCAGCAGTTTTATGTATGAGGACTAGTTGACTGCTTCTTAAATTATCTGCTTCTTAAGGAAACTCTGCATGAATGGATGTAGGTATGTACAGGACCATTAATACCTAGATACCTAATTCAGAGTAATACGATGTGAAATACCATATTGAACACTGCACCAGACTCATTGAAATTGCTCGCGGTAAGGGGAGTATATTAGAACCTGATTCCAGCTGAACAAAACAGCAGATGGATACCAGGGGGGCAAATAAAGGACAGAATTTCAAGCATTGCTCACTCGGTGTCGAGATTGGTGTCGAGTGAGTTACAACGCATAGTATCAATAAGAGAGAATTAATAAGAACACGAGTGAGAATTAAAACAAGTTACAACATAGGTTGAGCAATTCAATACTCGTAACGAAGATCATGGAGACAAAGACAATGAAAAGTACACCTCCAGCATGCCCGATGTTTGTCCCTTTACCATGTGAACTTAGATCCCTAACCCGATTTTATATGTGTAGCTGATAATCATTCCGTAAATAGCATTATATGCGCCTTGCCCGCGAAACGCCCACGCAAATCGGCAACAAGAGGTACCAGGAGAAAACGTAAAAAAATGGAATCCTTACGGAAAACCAGATGAAGGCAATTTTTGAGAAAGCCGGTCTGGAATATCGAGTGCAAGGTTAACTTGAAAATTTTGCATCCTTGTAGTAAGATGTCTCAAAAGCGCTGACGGATCATGCTGTGAAAACTTTATCAAGCTGCCGTAGGGCTCTCATATCTTCTCCGAATCCGATTTTTTCGCTTGGAATATCCTTGGGTCCATCGTCTGAGCCCCTGACGGGGTTTGGACTTCTGCGGCTAGTGCCATTCAGCTTGCCCGGTGTTATTGGTCCATCGATGATACTCGATAAGCTCCCCGCGGAATGGAATGGCGGTGAGGGAGGTGGCCCATTCATGAGTGAATTGATGCTCGGGACGGTTGTGGTAGATGAAGATGGTCCGCTGCCGTTACTGCTCGCGTGGTTGTTTTTAATGGTAGGAGGTATGTTTTTCATCGGAGGGTGGCTGGGGACATGTTTATGCTGGATACCATTTGCCTGGGGGTGTCCATGTGGTTGGCCAGGAGAGCCCATTCTTGGAGGTCCCATCATAATCAGCGGCTGTGATCTTGGGGACCGACCAGGGTTGTAAAACGGTACCCCTTGTCCGCCAACGGGACCTGGGTGGGTTTGTACGGGAGGGGGAAGCGTAGCATCGGCGGGGTGTACGGGTCTTTCATATGGGGCGGGGAGTTGAGGATGAGAAGGTGGAGCATGAGGATGTGGGCCGTATGGAACAGGTGGATGTCCATCGGCACCTGCGAGAGGGGGTAAATACGCAGGGTACGGCATGACAGGAGCATGTGGTGCGCTTGTGATTGGAGGTGGTGGCCAACTATACTGAGGAGCATATGATTGGGGATGCGGAGGACCTGAACGAGCATAGGGAAGAGAGTGAGGAGATACCGAAAATGCGGGAGCAGGCATGGGACCACGAGTCACAACGGGCAGATTCTGTTGGTCGTTAACGCTGGATTCAGGATATAGCCCTTTCTGTGGACGGATATGTCGTAGAGCTGGGTCAGTGGACGGCTGGTTCAAACCAGGAGCAGTCGGATGAGATCGTGCATAATAGCTTATTAAATGTAGATGCTGTCCTGTAGAGGTTGTGATGCTGAACGACTGTTTCATCAATCCATCTGGTTTGTATCGATATCCATCCGGGCCTTCCTCTCCCATCTCCAGCATCTTCGTCACTCCCTCTGTTGCTATCAGGAGTCTTCCCTGCCCTTGACGCTTGGGTAACGTGTCCGCCTCCTCTTTTCCCTTCCTTTCTCTGTAGGTCAAGAAGCTTCCGGATACTCTACTTGCGCTCCATGATTTTCCATCCGTCCATCTTCTCATTCCAGCTTCCCGCTCGTCCCAGACAAAAACAGAGCCAGATTTGATCGACTGCCGTTCCTTCTCCGATAATCTTCTCTGAACACGAGGCAAAAGACCGATACGGCAGGCTTCGAATAAAATGATGGCGTCCGCAGGTGTGCGGACATGCCCGTTATACGTCTCCATCCCCTATTCTCAAGTATAAAGAAGGTTGTCAAGGCAACGGTGGTCCGATAAACCAACCTTTCGCAAAGCCCTTGGTAAAGAATGTAGAAGAAAAGATAGGAAAAGTGGCTGGCTTTTTGTCCCTGCGTCTGCAGGTGCAATCTTCAAACACTGATGATCACAAGAAGGGATTAGCTATTCTGTATTAGGTGTAAAATGAACCGTTAACGAGTTGCTTCGCTCAATCAAAAGTAGGGCAGGAAGGTGGGGAAGGAAGAAAAGCCAAAAGAAAATAAAAAAAATTAAAAGTAAAAAAGTAAAAAATAAAAAATAAAAAGTAGGAAGCAAGGGGGGAAATGTATGAAAGCCCTAGAATTAGAGTCCCCGAAATAAACGGAGGTTGCCTTGTGGCTTAAGGTCTTGTCATGAACATGTTGGAAAACTTGGGAATCAATGGAGGCTAAGCGCTGAGAATTCTCCGGTGGAATTGGGATTGGGTCAACTAGCCCACACATAACAAACGCTCTGGGTGAAAAGATGAATGAATATGGGAGAGACCGACAGCTGAAATTAATCTCATTCGGTAAGTGGCCTAGGAATAGCCTCGATCACAATATTAGGAGACAGTGGTGGTGACCCATTTACCCGGATTTTGGGGGGTCCATAAATGGAGGCAGTTTCTTTGAATATCATCGAAGCAGAGGGCAAACCCAGATAATGTAGATTACCGAAGCAAAACAAGGGGAAATTAATATTGTCGAACGTACCTAATCCCGTCTTTGTGGGCTTTTGGCGTGTGAGGATGACGGGATGTGCAGCATGCGTCCAAAGAATAAAACAGTGTCGGATGCCGGGAGGTTCTTTTTGAGGTCACCCAAAGGGTTTGCAATGAGAGTTATCGAAAGTTCCCTGGAAACTCTCAAGAGTAACTTAAATTCTACAAACCCAGGGAATCATGAAATAAGGAGAAGGGGAGTGAGGGTCTCGCCGAAGTCAAAAAACGAACATTGATGGACGAGGCGGAGTTAGGTACGAGGTACGGTTTTAGGGTCAGCACGTGAGAGCCGGCTTCACTTATTTGGGTGTATTGTAAGGGGAGTTCGATGTATGGTACTAGGTAATGCAAGGTGTACATAGATTACGATACCATACAGAGAATACATTACTGTATGTGCCTTATATACTCCGTACATACACATACCTAGATACGGTACATACATACCATAATATATCCTCAGAACCTTGGAAGAGATACATACCCAGGTGTTTGCCAAAAGCAAAGAGACACCATTGCACTAACAATTCAGAGTATAATATACCTCTTGGAAATGTAAGGAGAACTGTCCTTTCTCCTTCATCATTCCCTTTGTCGCGTAAAGAGTATATCAAGCCCTCTTAAAAGCTTATTATTGTTGGACGATATGTGCGTGTATTAAATGTGCTGGGTATGGTGCTCTGGTGTCAATGCCCTTGTGTATCCAAACATAGATTGCTATAGTTAGATATTATAGATATTATTAGAGGTTAATGTTGAACATGGCTTTAAAAAAGTTGAACGAGGTTTAAAAATGGGGCCCACTTTTTTAACATCAATCTTGTCATAAAATAAACATAGTCTGCGCATAAGGTACACAACTCATATTACTAATAAATGCAGCTCTATTCAAAGCTCCCAACACCGGGGTTAGGATTAGGCTAAGGATTAGGGTTAGGTTAAGGATAAGAGTCTGCGAAGTATGATAAAATTATTACCACAAGAGGCATATAGAGATGTTGAACATGACTAGTGTATAGAGTTTTAATGAGGGTTGGCATGGTTTATAGCATAAATAACATTTGAGGGTTTTTCTGGCTGAATTTTAAAACCATATTCAAAACTGTATGCACGTACCCTTAATTCTTAACTGTGAAGTTAAGATCGGTACTGCTGTAACGAATGACTCTGCACTTGTACAGGCATCTGTATCAGTAAGAGAAACACTTTACAGAGTTGTAACTTAGTTAATTGCCGGTGTGAACAGAGTTTTCGCATGCAGGCTTTCTACTTGGAGCTGTGGAAAATGTAGTTATTTAGACCGAGAACTGTAGTACGGACTATGGATGCCAAGAGCGTTTTGTTGATGTTTGATAGACCCAAAATAGATGTCGATGCCAAGCATGATTAGACAGACATTGCT